CTTTGGGTTCCAAGTCTAGATCTCTAACCACTAGGCATCCTTGTCCTGTTCTCTCCCATTTCGCTGCCCCCTGCCTCCCCCTCCCCCGTAAACACCTTTGGGAAGGTCCAATGGCTAGCCACCCAAAATCGTGTTGGTCATGGAGGCAGAGAAGCATTCGCCTGCCTTCCTTTTTTTGGGGGCTTCCTCTCTCTCTTCCTCAAAGGGCGATCTCTCAACCTCCTGGCCAGACAGAAGGATCTCAGGTGTACTCAGGTGCGGGGGCTGGCAAAAGCTGCCAAGCGTGGCACCGGACGTAGGAGGGGGGGAGGTCAGTGAAATTTGTCTCCAACTCTTTGCGCAATCTTTTAGAGCTTTCTCTTCCTCTCTCATTGGCTTTTCAAATACTGTGCACCAAAATCAGTCTAACAGAAGCCAGGTTCAGAGAGCTTAAAGCACCAGCCAAGGTTTGTAGCAGCCAGAAACACCAACACACACACACACACACACACACCTGTCCTTCACTCTTTGTAAAAACACCTGTACCTGCATAGGTCATTTCTAGCCAAGATGGTGGGTGTCCCACAGGGCTTCAAAAAGTTGCGTTGGGAATGTGCAGTGGTTAGTGTAGCCTCTTCTGGTCTGGCCGTTTGGGGATGATGGGGTTTGTACTCTAGCCCCCAGCTCCCCTTTTTGAGGGCACCAGCACAGAGCACACGGAACAGACCCATTGGAATGAATCGGGAGGCTTAACGCCAGTTAGGAAGGCGTGGACGTTTCTCCCCTTTGATTTTCAGTGGGTCTCTTGGGAATCTCGGGGGAGACCCTGGTCCGGATCTCCCTTCAACCGAGAAGGGAGAGGGGATAATAATCCCCGAGTCCCAGTCCAGCTGCTCGCACAGGCTCCTTGGAAACCCAAAATGGTAGTCAAGGACGCCGCCTTGAGCTCACAGGAGGAAAGGCGTCACAATCCTGCCACCAATACAACAGAAAATAAATGATCTGGCTACGGATGCTCTGCTAAGGAGACTGTTAAAACAATGGATTTAACTTTTCAGAAAACCTGGGCAGGATCTGCACCGTCCCTCTCCGATCCTACCCACTGTTACCGGAGAGTAAACCCAATGGTAATAAGATGACTAACTTTAGAGTAAGCAGGGGGTAGACTAGCAGGTCTTTTTCATGTTCGGTATGCCATCCATAATTACAGGATTTAGTACGGCAGTAAGAGGAAACCGAGTTCTTTACCAGCTGAAGGTTTCGTTCAAATGAGATTTACTCTCGGAGTAAACACAGCTCTGAATGCTCTGCTCTTTAGCTCGGGTTGCTACTCTTTCTGGCCCGCCCCACGCCGCCACCTCTTTCACCCCCTTTGAACAACATACAATTTTCTTTTGGCCCCAGAGAGATCCTACAGATTTGCTCGGAATTCAGTCCGGTCAGGATGGCTTCCCTGAGACGGGACTCCTCACCATGGGCAAGAAAGGGATGGCTCTCCCCACAAAGAACCCTGTATAGGATCGCGCCTAGCCAGGATTATCCAGGAAGAAGCCCTTAAGGAAAGAAGACCTTTCAAAGTTAGCTCTTCCTGGGATGAGACAGAAGCTGGGATCTTATATATATCTAGACGCCGCCTTCCCAGCGCACTATATAGGATTGCGTCCAAAACTAGAGACCCAACGGAGGACGTGGGGTCGCTTTCTAAGACCAAAGAGAGAGAGAGAGAGGAGAGTTTAAAGATTTGCTAAAAAGGAAGGAAGCTATTTCAAAAAGTGTGCGCCTGGTGCGATCCATCGACGTGTATTACCTCCGCCAGCAATCCCCACTGTGGCCAGTCTTGGCTGGAGGATCGCATTTCTTAATTCTTTCCTCCCCACCTCAGGTCCAAATATCTGTCATTTCCAATCCCTCCATCCTCTTTTTCCTCCGGCGTTATAATTTCCCATTTCCCCGTTATCTGTTCCGTTAACAGCCACGAAGTTGCGCAGGCTGGAGACCGGCCGATCCTATTTAATTCTAATTTTTTTTTAACTGGCCCTGTTAATTCAAGCCATCCTCTACCAGGAACGGGAGGGGGATCTCCCTCCTCTCCCCTGCCCCCCTTTTTCTGTGGAATCCCCGTTTGTGTAAACGGGGTAGGATGCGGATTTACACCCTGTCAATTCAAGGAGGAAACACTTATTTAAAAGAGGTTTGGAGGCGAAAAGGAGGCGGCCGTGGCGGGGGGGGGGGGGGCGGGAGGAAAAGCAACCGACCCACCAAGTGGGAGGGGGTTCCTGGAGGGCAGATGTAAGCCTGGTCCAACGGGCAAGACGGGTGGAGGAACGCCAAGGTTTTGGAAAGCAACACCTGGAGCTTAAAAAAAAAGGCCTGCCCTACTCCCGAGTAGACCCGTTTCCCGGCGACTGATGGGCCGATCCCCGATTTTTTCTATTTTCTTTTTCTGCCTCGGTCCGGCGCCTAAAGTCAAGGCCAGTCTCCCTTACACATCACAGCGAGGTGTGTTTTTTTTTTACTCAAGAGCAAGATCCACCGCTTCGGAAATCACTACTTTCCTCCTTCACACATACACACACCCCAGCCAGCGGTTGCTTCCGAGCCGTGGGCCGATCCACCGGGCGATTAAGCCGGCGCTCCTGCGCCTTCGGAATCTCCACCCGCGGATAATTCCTATTATATGCGGGGGGGGGGGGTTGGATCTGTGCAAAAAGCATATATCCTCAGAGAAAGGGATGGGGGGGGG